TCTCTCTCTCTCTCCCTCTCCCTCTCCCTCTCCCGCACCTAACCCTCACCCTCTCCTCTCCCTCTCCCTCTCTCTCTCTCTCTCTCTACCTCTCCCCCTCTCCCTCTATCTCGCTCTCTCACTCTCTCTCTCTAACTCTCTGTCTCTCCCTCTCTCTATCTTCCTCTCTCTCTCTCTCCTTTTCCCTCTCAATCTCTCTCTCTCCCCCTACATGCGTCATTTCGGCCTCGTATTTTCTCTCTCCTAGTTTCTAGTGAGAGATTCTCTTGAGATGGCGGGGCTGACCGAACCCCCCCTTCGGTTCTTACGGGGGCTGTGGTGACGGGAGAACGGCTGGCGATGATCGGAGGAAGTCAGGTGTTGGCGTAGGAGGGGTGAGGAAACCGGGGGAGAAATCTCCTAGCAAGGCTTTGGCTCGGACGAAAGGCAAAGGTGAGGACCAAGGTAGATCTGGTTCTGACGGACCGTCGACGGATCGATGGGAGGTGAAAACGCGAAGTAATGACTTGATGGTGGTTATGCCGACCACGGCTACTGGACTCTTGGCCGGATCTGATGGAAGTAAGTTGGATTGTTCTCGCCTAGGGCTTCTAAGGACCCTGCGCTAAGGGCGCGTATGAACTTGTCGCTCAACCCGGCGTTCAGCCCGGGGGAGCCGCCTGCTGAGATGGAGGAATGCGACCCCACGGAGGACTTCCGTGATGATGAAGAGGAGATGTTTGATGTGAACGCAGCGATGCCAAGGAAAGCTTGCCCCTTGGAGGTCATCCCGGAAGTTACAAAATGGCACAGTTCGGTGCTGAACAGGTCGGACAGCGTTGCTGAACCGAAGGACTTGATCATGGAGGCTGTTGAGCCAGTGAAGCTTATGGACCAGGAAGGGGGAATGTCATCCCCTTTACCTCAGATACCATTGGAAGGCATGCAGGATGTTTGTGGAAATGCCGGATCGGGTGTCACCAGTATTGGCTCGGGTGAGCCTGCAGCCAAGACTTTCCCCCCTAGGCCGGTGTTCTCCAATAAGCATGAGAACCCTTGGCATAAATCGTCGCACATCCAGGTGCAGCGGCCTGACAAAATCAAGGCGTTGGTGGATGACAGTTGTCCTTAACCTGGAGCGTGTCAAGGCAAATTTGTCCATGCTTGATTGTGCGGTGGTCGGTAAGATTTTAGGGAAGAAGGTTTCGTTCTTCTTGCTAAAATTGGAGATACATAGAAAATGGGGCGGATTCGGGGAGTTTCAACTCACGACGTTGGGTTCAGACTGTTTTCTTTGCATCTTTACCTCTACGGAGATTCGTGATGTGGTTCTTAGTGGCGGCCCCTGGTTCATCGGAGGTAACTTGGTTGGGCTGGATAGGTGGACGCCTGGATTCTCTCCGGCATCTTTGGAAGGCTTCTCTTCCCCGGTGTGGATTAGGATGCCCAATCTCCCACTTCAATATTGGGACGAGTGCAATATATCCCGCATTGCCTCTCGGATTGGCACACCTCTATGGATTGACGCCCAAACTGGTAATTGGGGACGACGCGAGTACGCACGAGTTTGTGTCCGGATGAACTTAGCCAAGCAACTCCTGGCTAGAATATGGATTGATGGGCTCAATGGGCGCTTCTACCAGAAGGTAGAGTACGAAGGTATTGGTCTTATGTGCTATGGATGCGGGCACGTGGGTCACCGTAGGGACTCTTGTCCAATTAAGAGCGTTGTTCAGGCTCCTTCTACCGGGAAGCAGGTCATGCCAGAAAGGAGATTCGAAAAGGGTGAAAGTAGCAAGGTAGGAGGGACATCTAACAAGCCGACCAAGCAAGCCCAGGAGTAACAAGGGGGGGTGGGGATTGATCATGACACGACGAGCGCCCCTCTTCGTGAGCTGGACATCCCGGCACGGGAAACCACTTGTGCCCCCCTGGATGACACTGATGGGGAACGTAATGACGAACTGAATAATGCCAAGGCGGATGAGGACCTTGTGGGACCTTGGATCCAAGTCCCCCCTCGCAAACGTAAGGGGAGCAAGCCTACGGTAAGGAATTCAGCGGAAATTTTAAAAAACCTCTGAGAAAGCCCCCAAGGCAAGTGGATTTGCATACGGTCAAGGAGCCACTGAATGTAATCAAGCCTGCTAGGAAATAGGCCAAACTGGGGATTAACTACCCTTTGTTGTTTTCTGCGGGCACTAAGCCGGGGGGCCTGATGGCTAATAGGTCCACGGGAGGTGTGGGCTTCCACCTTCTGGCTTCTGACCGGGAGCTCCCTTTAAAAAAAGAAGAAAGGAAGTAACTGATGAATCTGGCGGTGGGGGCGCCCCCCCAATGGTTAATTAATGTCGTCCATCATTTTCTGGAACTGTAGGGGGCCCGTAAGAAGCAGACGGGCCACTTCCTACGCAGCCTCATTGCTGGTAATGAGGTGATTTTTGTCGGGCTAACCGAAACTATGATTGAGGATATCTCTAGGATGGAGGTGAACGTGCTTGTTGGAGCCAACTGGGACTTCCTGCATTTCCCAGCCAACGGGAGGTCCGGTGGCCTGCTGGCGCTATGGCGCAGAGACTGTTCGCTCTTTGTGGCTACTAGAATGATGGAACAAGCTTTGGTGGGACACCTGGTGCTGCCTAACCGCCAGAAGTGGACTGTGGCAACTGTCTATGGGTGAAAGAACTACCATTCCAGACGCTGCCTGTGGGAGGTTCTAAGGTCGTGTATTGATGCCGATCTCCCGACCATCGTGGGGGGGGATTTCAACTGCTGCCTTGACCATAATGAGAAGCGTGGGGGCCGCAGATTCGGGTTTCCCATTGGGGCACAAGAGATGTCGGCTTTCATGGTGGATAAAGACTTACATGATCAGGGATTCACTGGTCCGAAGTTCACGTGGTCGAATAATAAACAGGGCTCCAATAAGGTCTGGGTACGATTGGATCGCGTCCTGATGAATTCTGTGGGCCTGCAATTTTATCCTCTAGCTTCCGTCAAGCATATGTTACGGCTTGCTTCGGACCACTGCCCGCTACTCTTGAGATTAACGAATGAGCCTGCGAATCCCGGGAGTAAATGGATCAGATTTGAGGATGTGTGGAGAACCTTCCCGGCCACCTGGAAAGTTTTTTGGAAGAGCTGGACCAAGCACGATCACGGGCAGCCAGATGATGTCCTGAACCGCAAGTGTTCAAGGACCCTCCGATCTCTGTTCTTATGGAGTCGTAATCATATGAAGGACCTGGGGGAAACGAAAATTGTGCTTGAGGCGCGTCTCGCTGAACTCCAGCTTCTAGAGAGTTCACCGGTGGGACTGAACTCTGTGCAGGAATCGGAGTTAAGGAAAACTGCTAATGATCTGATTACTAACCTCGCCAGAACAACGACTTGGTGGAAGCAGTGCGCCAAGACTCGGTGGATTGAGGAGGGAGATGCGAACTCCCATTTCTTCCATTCATCTGCCTCGGCTCGCCGGAGGAGCAACCGTATTGTTGAAATTCAGACAACTAATGGAGAAAGAACCTCCGACCAGAACAAAATTCAGGAGGAATTCCTGAGATTCTTCACGGCTAAATGGAGAGACTGACCGGTTTCTCTGGAAGGTTGGCCAAACTTCGATAGGGATGATATGATCCCCGAGCAATTTCGGGAGACCTTGGACGCCGCGGTTACTAAACTGGAGATCCCTCAAGCAGTTTTTAGCATGGGGAACAACCGCTCGCCGGGGCTGGACGGTATCACTGCTTCGTTTCTTAAATTTTACTTGGAAATCATTAAAAGTGATGTTATTTGTGCTATTTTGTATTTCTTTGCTACTAGTTCTATGTGCACAAGCTGGAAAGACACCCTTGTGGTTCTTCTCCCCAAAACCACGGATGGTTGTGTACCGGCGAAGTTCAAGCCAATCAGCTTATGCCAATCCTTTTACAAGGTGATAGCCAAAATTTTAATCAACCGCATCACGCCGGTCCTGAGCCACATTGTCAGCAAGGAACAAGGAGCCTTCGTCCAGGGGAGATCCATCTCTGGTCATGGTATGGTGGCCCAAGAGATGCTTAACAAGTTCCGTTACTCTCAACAGAAGGCGAGCATGATGGCCATCAAAATCGACATGGAGCAGGCCTATGATTGTATGGCATGGGACACGCTCTAACTAGTGTTGACACGGATGGGATTCCCCAACCGTATGAGCCAATGGATAATTCAATGCGTGGCTAGGCCACGATTTTCTTTACTGATCAATGGGAGCAGAACACTGTGGATTCAAGAGTATTGCGTATTGCAGCAAGGGTGCCCCCTTTCGCCTTATCTTTTTATCCTATGTTCTGAGCTCATGTCCAAGAATTTTCGCACATGGGGGGCGCAACTGGGGGTACCGATTGTCCGGGGAGCTGACCAGATTTCGCACCTATTGTATGCGGACGATATTCTGGTGTTTGTGGAGGTTAGCAAGTATAATGCTAACTGTATTCGGGACATTTTCAATGACTACTGCAAATGGACGGGGCAACGCATCAACAGTGAGAAGACTGCTATTCTCTTTAACAAGAGGTGCCCGAAATGGAAGCAAAGGGCGTTCGCTAAGATGCTGGGATACCGGAGAGTTGATTCGGTCGATTACCTTGGATTAATTTTGACCCAGAGGAGGTTGAAGACCACTGACTTCGCCAAAGTCATTAAGAGTGCGCACGATAAGACAAATTTATGGGGAAAGAAGCATCTTTCCTATGCGGGTAGAGCCATGCTTATCCGTACTTCTCTGCTTCCTATCCCGGCCTACATTATGACCCATACGGAGGTGCCGAACAGTGTGCTTAATTCGATCGAGCGGCTAGGCCGGTGATTTCTGTGGCAGAAAGACTCCAACAGTAAGGGAATGCACTATGTGGCGTGGAAGGACCTTTGTGCTCCATGTGATCACGGGGACTGGGGTTCCACGATTTGGTGGAATGGCGTGAACCTTTACGTGCCCGGTTGGCCTGGATGGCCCTGCATGAGGACTCCCTGCTATATAAGGTGATGAGATTGATTGGCAGAGTCAGAACCGTTCTATCACTTGGAAGGTGATCAACGATGGGATGGGCGCCCTGGCGGGCATCCTTCGTTGGCATATTGGTGACGGGATGAACATCCGTGTGTTACAGGACTGCTGGATTTTGGACCGCACTATTGATCGATGGCCGACCTTTGTTTGTGTTGACGAAGTGGAGAATGCTAAAGTGGGAGGGCTACTCAATGACGATTGTAGCTGGAATGAGGAAGCGGTGGAGAGGAACTTTGGGGCGGTTATGGGTTAGTGTATCCTGAACATTGACACGAACTTGGAGGAGGGCATCGATAAGCCAGAACTTACGCTTTCTTGTTTTGGCTCCACTTTAACCGCAACGGTTATGAAGGCTAAGCTTGGGACCTCGGATTACAAGTTCGGATGGATCATTAAGCTTCGGCTGCATCCGAGGGAGAAATTCCACTGGTGGAGGCTGCTCCGGGACGCCATCCCCACTAACGTTTGGCTTTCTCGGAGGGGGTTATCGAGCTCCACGATTTGTCAGTGGGGCTGCCCTGGGGTGGAGAACATTGATCAATGTGTGGCTCAATGCAACAAACTGAGGGAGGTCTTTGGTGTGCTTGGCAAATGGGGTTTTATCTTATCGATTACCAACTCCCTCAACGAACTTATGGAAGAGCTTGCCGGGTTGGCTGCTGCGAACCCGGGCTTGGGACAGATCTACTGCTATACCGTCTACCAGGTATGGAGAGCCAGAAATGAACTCAAACACACGGGGTCTTGTCGCCCGCCTTCGATCATTGCTGCCACGGTTCTTTCGTTGCTGCCTATACCTTATCGGATGCCAATTCTGGAGCAATGGAGCACTGCTCAGCCTTCTGGGTTGCCATCTCATTTGCTTTGGTGCCCCCCACCTCCAGGTTGGTTGAAGTTTAATGTTGACGCTGCGCTTAAACCGTCCAATGTAACATGTGTTGGGGTTGTGGTCCGAAATTTTGAGGGGGCGTTGATTGCGGCTGCCGGCAAAAAATTCGAACATTGGGACTCCTTCCAAGCTAAGGTCAGGGCAGCGGCTCTCACGCGGGAGGTTATTCAGGATTGGATGCTCGAGCTAGATGGCATAATTATTGAAGGGGATTGCAGCAATGCGATTGGATGGCTCCAAAATATGCATGACCGCAAGTGTAGAGCCCATTACAACCTAGAGGGGCCGGACCTCTCTTTTCTGATGAAGTTCAAACAGGTCATTTTCAGGCACATCCTGAGAAACAGTAACCGCCCGGCCAATTTCTGTGTCAGCTTTGCGTTAGACGGTAATTTCTTGTTTTGGGATGTTAAGACTGTCGGCTTCCCCTCTTCCCTCTTGTCTTTGCTGAGGGCTGACAGCGATAGGGTTTAGTTTTTTACTATCTAGTACTAGTTTTTCTTCATATTAATGCAAATGCAAGTTCAACTCTCTCTCTCTCTCTTCCACTCTCTCTCCCTCTCTCTCTCTTTCTCTCTCTCAAGTTCATCTCTCTCTCTCCTCCCTCTATCCCTTCCTCTCTCTCCCTCTCTCTTTCCCTCCCTCTCTCTCTCCCTCTCTCTCATTCTCTCTCCCTCTCTCTCTCTCAATCTCCCTCTGTTCATCTCTCTCTCTCTCTCTCTCTCTCTCTCTCTCTCTCTCTCTCTCTC